AAATTTAGATTCGTGACCGGCAAGCAGCTCCTGGAGCAAGCCATCCACGATCACTACAAGATGAACAAGGGCCAGTACCGGTTTCCCGAAAAACTGGACACCCAATTGCGAATCGCGGGAGCTATTGGTAAGTTTTTCTCGGTGTAGCTTAGTAGTTCATGTCGTAATTTATAGTACAGTACAATACAAACTACGTTGTTACAGGTGCCCCAGCGCAGACCAGCTTGAACCTGATGATGCGCACGCAAGGGAACGCCCTCTTCCCCCGGCCGGCTGAAGCGTGCTATCGACTCCTTAAAGGTTAGTATTACACGATAGAAATCAGAATAGTACCAAATTAAAGCGTATAACCCTGCATTTTCAGCCCTGAGAGATGGTACTTGGCCTCGTCTTGGATGTGTTACGATCTCGTATAGTCGATTTGAGAAGGATGCGCGGTGCAAGGTAGGCGAGATTGCACAATTTTTTGGCAACAAAAGGATAAGAAGAGAAGCAAAATTTAGAATTTTCAAAATTTTGAATTTTCCGAATTTCGAAATTTCCATAGTTTGCAACAAAATTAATAGCTACACAAATTGCACGACTGTGCCCTGCACTCAGCTTAAGCAAATTTCTTTGAAGCCGAAGATTCGAGATTTTGATTTTCGTGATCATGCAAACTAAGAGTCTGATTTTCTTGATTCTGAAGGCAATTGTCGAGACCTAGTCGTTGTCAGGGGGTCTTTTCTAGCATGGTAGCCGTGCTAATGATGGGTTTTTCCAGATCACAACCGGTTCGAACATCGACGAAAATTTTCTCGGCGAAGTCGCCGACCTGCTTGAGAGCCTTAAAACTCGCGGACTCCACGTATCCGTGAAAACCGACGTCTCGATGTAAGTATGGAGGTGTTCGCTGAGTAATGTGTCCTTAAATTTAGCCCATCAAACGAGAATTAAAGTTACGAAAGCTAATAAATACAAAACGCAATTTCAGGGCCCTGAACAAGCGCGGAGTGCTGAAATCCCCACACTACCAAGTCTTCCGCGGCCCTATCGCGCAGTGGAAATCTGCTTCTACCTCCCTCGCTGCTCAACCGATGAGACAAGAACGTCAGGGATGATTCTTTTTCTTGCATAATATTGTATTAAGGTGCCCCATCCTTTACCGTCCATTATTTTTTTTCTGCCTTTTTAATCAACTATTGTTTCTAATCTAAATTTTGCGTGTGGTCGAGCTTTCCTTGTTTTCATTTTTGTGTCTCCCTATGATTGTTTTGTCAGTTTTGCTATTTTTCCCCACCGGGTATTTACTCTAACTTTAAATTTTTCACTAACGTCCTTTTTTACTTTTCATTTTTACGGGGCTTTAAGATTTGTCCTACCTTGCGCCAGCAATTCTTTTATTTTCGTTTTTGTGTAGCGATTTGAATTTTTACCATTATGCTTATCGCAAATAAACGGGTATTCGAAAATATCGCGATTTATCTAGCATAATCATTTGGGAAGCCAACAAACACTGTCGGTTTGTGGCCAAACGGGCCAATTACCGGGGTGCCCACACTGTTTTTCGGAAGTTTTCCGTACTTTCCCATACCAGGATTGCAAAATAGTATTCGCCGCAGGGCGTGGCCCGGCAGTTACACGTGGCAAATCTGTTCCAAGAAGCCGAGATCCAACGGATTTCACAAGCATGGATCTACTAGTTACCGGAATTGACCTGTTATGCGTCGTGTCGCGCTTACGACCGTTGGTTCGGTAAGTCGTGGATTTCTCATGGGAGACTCGGATAGAATATCAAATTATCGGAAATACGAATTTTAAAGATCGCTATGTTCAAAATTTCAAAATTTTTATAGGAAGATTGATTGAGATTGAAAATTGAACGGCTACGGTCTGCATATGGTTGAGGAAATTTTGTGATTCCAAAAATTCTAATTTCTTACGAGCTAGATGAGGGAGTTGTGATGGATGTTTGATACCTAAAACCCACTCGGAAACATTGCTGTTTTAGAAGCCGTTCGAGGAGGACGTCGTATTTTCGAAGGAAACCCTTGATGAGTTTTTGACGAATCTGAAGAACGCAGCTTGTGGACTTTCGCACCTGCCGCCAAATGTTCTCCGTTTGACGCGTGACGCGGACGATGAAAGAGCGGGCAGGTTAGCAGGGATATCGTAAAATACCATTAATTCTCGTTTTTCTAACAATAATTATCGCGTTTCAAGACACGTGTTCATGCAGCAGATGCGCGGCTTGGTACCATGGGATCAAGCGTTCCAAACCGTGCAACCATCCGCCTCCGTTCTTCGGTATATTATTTCCCCCGATTCGAGAAAACGAATTTTAGGTTCTTTGAGCGTCAACGGACAGCAAAACAGGAAACTGGCAAATTTTTTGGCTTTGCCTGAGCAATTATATTATGAGAAAAGCGCAAAATTCCAGCAAAAAATCCGGTTTTAGGACATTCCGGATGCACGCTGGTGATCGAATTGCCTCCGAAGTCGAAAATTGTGAAAGCACGATACTTGGGACAGCTGTTTCTGGCAATTTCGAGAGGTGTGTTGAGATTTAAAAATCGTCTCACGATGCAACAGCCGAAAAAAATCGATAACCAGCCTTTTTTCTCGACATTTTTTATTTGCAGCACTGAACTCAGGCCGCTTCCACTCTTGCGGCGTTGTTTCAATTTCATATCGGCACTACACGCAGGATAAAAATGCCAAGATCAAGGTATGAATCTTGATTAAATCTTTGCCATCTATCAATCGTATTAGAAAGATAAAAGAATACAGACATAAAAAATACTAGCAATAAATAAAATGAAAAAATTTCAGTTCACCGCCGAAAACGGCAATTATTGGATGTGGTTAGAGAACTTGCACGAAATCTACCAAGGAGCGTGGAGCGGGCCGCCACCTTGTGGCTTCAATATCAGGCTCGAGGCTGATGTGAGGACGTAATTCTTGAAATAACTTGAAAAAAATCCGCCGATCGAAAACAACTTGGCTTAGGATCCTGAACGGGCACTTCCACACAGCCGGGTATTCGCCCTATCTTCAGCCCATCGTACCACGGCCAGCTGAAAGCTGCAAGATCCTTTGATTCCGTCTGAAAAGTCAATCCTTGATGTGCCATATCGCTTTTCCAGTGCTGTTCCAGTGTTCCAAGTTTCTTAGTTTTTCCGCAGTTTCGAGTGTTCCAAATAAAGAGATTTCGTCACACGATTTTTGGAATGGACTTACGGAGCAGTGGCTCGCGCGGCCAATCTTTTGATGAAATCGGACGCAGGTTTTGGAAAGGACCGCGCCATACAGGGTGTCCCAATAAAAAACACACTCGCTTTAACTCGACGCAGCAGTATTGCATCGGAACGGCAGCTACACCATTCGAAAGCCTTTGAAGCTGCGCGCAGCCGGCAACCTTCATGACTGGCAACCTTTTATTCTAAAGCGCCATTTTACAACGCATTTAAAACCTTATGGAACCGGCCCTGTGCATCTAAATCACGGCCATTTTCGGGAATTTTCCTTGGAGAAATTGCGGCATTTTAGCTCGGATGCAACCCCGAAAAATCCGGCCTCTGCCTCCCGGTATTTTTTCGCGTAAGTGATGAATCACGGATTCGGCCACGCAATGACAGGAGCGGCAAATATGTAGATTATAGAGCCCCCAACCAACAAAAAACCTGCCGTCGACTTCCGGATGATCAGCTGATAAGCTCCCTTCAGCGGCGCCCCTAATCTCGCACGTCGTAAATCATACGCGACGAAAAGTTTTGTAGGGTAAGGTGTCGGTATAAAAGGCGAGGTGCGAAGTCTAGAACCAGTAGCTTCAACGGCTTGCTATCACAGTTAACCTATACGCTGTCTAAGCGGGTTTCTCTTTCTTAAATGGCTTAACATTTTGTTGTTGTTAAACGTTTTGCTAAAAAGACACAATGTGTTTTTCTTTGATAATATTGTAATTAACTGGCGGATCTCGCATAAATCAGCTGTTTTCCCGGCTTTTTGCCATAAAAATTAGTCGCTTAACCAGGGTTGAAAAGCTGCTTCGCGACTTTTCAACCCTGGCCCCGTCAAACCCCCATAATATCCTTCACTTTGCATACTTGTCTACGAGTCTGCATTTTAATGCGAATAATGAAAAATGTCACTCTCTCGCTCATTATATAGGCTCCCGCGGCTTCCCGCCTATGCAAATTGGTTCCTACCAAAGAGGGTACCCGATTTTACAACAAAAACATAATTTTAATGTCGAAAACTACGAATTTGGTAAAATCTGATATACTTGCAGTCATCTCGTGGCCATTACGCACCTAATGACGTATCATACGTAGCCTAATACCCTTTCCTCCTTGAGATATCCTCCGGACAGCCTGACGGAAGTTGCATGCAAAGTGGCACACACACACACAGACACTATTTTTTTTATACCAGGGTTGAAAAGCCGCTTCGCGACTTTTCAACCCTGGCCCCGTCTGACCCCATTTTATCCTTCAGTTTGCATAATTGTCCTGCATTCAAACGACAAAAAATGTAAAACAACCTCTCCCATCCCGTTATATAGTCGAATCCCAACTTCCGGTCTATGCTAATTATACCTAACAAAGAAGTTTTCACAAAAACCTAAATTTAATGTCGAAAATAGGTGATTTTGTTGAATTTAAAATGCGTGCAGTCATCTCCAGACCAATGCGCACCTAATGACGTATCATACGTCCTTTAAAATTCATCCCCTAGCGAGATATCCTCCGGACAGACAGACGGAAATGGATGCAAAGTGGCACACACACACAGACACTATTTTTTTATATATAGTAGGATTAGTCGCTTAATTTAGCAAACCAAAAGCGCTTATTTTCTCCCTTTTTCGAGAGTTTTCGCTAGATACCTAATCATTAAAACCGAACACGACTGTGGACCGCTGGAGGAGTATTTGTTGTTGTTGCCCAAAACTTACAGTACCCAACCCCTTTCTGGCTGAATTCAGATCACACACGCACGCAGCTAATCTTGTTTAGATGATGGCTACTCAAATGAGCCTTCAGTCGGCTCAAGAAGCCTGGAAGCAGATTGACGCGCTCGGGGTCGATGGTGTTCGAAGCAAGAAGGGCATCTACGTGACCGTTAACGGCAACGATCCTACCGGAAATGTGTAGGTTACTGAGCGATTCCTATGCATACCCAGTTTCAAAAAAACACGTCAGAACCTAAGTGCATCGGAACGAATTTTATAGGGTAATTCGCACGACCAATCAGCCGTCGAGCGACGGTACAAACGATGCTTTCAAAACCATACTGGCCAAGGGGCTGCCAATCACAAGGTATATTTTTAAGTCCAACGGAGTGTTGGTGCAACGTCTTCTAGATTCGCTTGCGAGCGCGCGCTCACCCAAAAGCGCATCGACGACTACTTCCGGACGCAGAAAAGTCGCTACCGTGATCCCGAGCTGCTGACAACGCAGCAACGCATCGGCAGGGACTGCAGTATGAAGTGTTGCATCCACAAGAATTAGAACAAATTTTAGAAGCCACCGGACAGACCACCGTATTCTTGGACATTGACAGCCAGATAAAGAGCAAGGCATCGTACGTCCGCCCGGCTCAAGTTTTCATCGCTCTGCTTAAGGGTGAGTCTCCTTCCGCGGTCATTGCTCGTGCATCTTCCCTTTTTGCAGGATTTTCAACTACTATTTGCCAATTTTTAGCGCTTCGAGACAACGTCTGGACGCCGGAGGGCTGCGTGACGATCGCTTTCAGAGACTTCCTCAACGAGACTCGCGCTGAGGCAAGTTTTTAGGGTGTATTTTGGGGCTTTGATGGGAGCTATGCTTGTAAGTAGCTGATAATAATTAGAACCAGTAATTAAGACTCCCGTTTAACATACACCTCGTAGGTGACCATTGAAGAAGACATCGCCAAAGCCTTCATGGGCCAAATCGCTGACCTTCTCGTCGAAGGGGGTGTGAACACAAACCAGTTGCGCATGGTGGTCAGGACCGATGTCGGGGAGTAGGTTTCTTGGGGCGGCAGTCGGACCATTTCTTGAACCACTAAGCTGATCGCCTTTTTAGCGCGCTACGAACTTATGATCGGATCAAAACGTGTGAAAATGTTTTCGAGGGTACGGTAGATGGATTGCGCACCCCGCAACCGGGCGCCGCTGGTGCCCCGCGCCCTGCCAACGCCTGAATGACGCAGTAGGAGTGAAAATGCCGGGCAACACCACCGTCCAATCGTGGTAATTATTTAGGGGATTTTTTAAGGGATAATAGCTACATTATTATGAAAACACCCTCAAGTAAGGTATTCATGGCGTGTTTTTCAATTTAGAGCTCGGTAAAACTTCATTTCGTCGAAAGATAAAGACATGTAACTTGAGTTAGTTTCGCAAAAAATACGTTAGAATCTGCGCAACGATTTGTAAGGCGTGACGGAAGTCAAAAATTTTCCTAAAAGTGCCTTTCTGAGACCAGATGCGACGGGATGACTAATATAAACATCTTGCCATCTCCCATCGATTTACACATTTTTTCAGAGATTCCCGGTCGACATTGCTAGCAACCCCTGTATCGGCGAAGTGACCGGGACCTTTTCGAATTTTCCTCTTCTGTAAATCTGCTGTTTTTTTTGCGGCGTAAGGGACCGCGAATAAATGGCTTTGTTAATGAAATAATTTTTATATACGCAATACGTTATACTACACGGAACTATCTAAAAACCTAGATTTTGTCATTTTTTGAAAACCATCCTTACATGGTAATTATTCTGCAACGTCTAGCAAATCTCAAGAAAATCTGTTCTGTTTACGTCCGTCCACGGCGTTCATCCAAATTTTTTCGTGTTTTTGCAATGAAAAATTCGTTATTCTAACTTATAGAACTTCACCAATGTCGTAGTGCGAAAAATTGAGCGCGATTTTTGGATAAAAAAATGTAGTTTTAATTGGCCACCGAACAAAATTTCCTCGCGTCAGCTTTTTCCCCAACAGAACAACCAGAATTTCGACATTATAGCCCGGCCAAAAGACCGGCAGTTCATTCCGGGCCGATCCCCTTTCCCTCACATAAGCAAACTTTAAAAAACACAGATAAGCCGGCATAGCTCCGGAGTGGATGCCCATTCTCCCACAAAATATTCTTGCAACGCAGAATTTCCCGATTTGGAATCGATTCTTAGCAGGTTAACATTTTTGCCCTTTTGATTTCAGGAGAAGCAAATTTTTCGAAGAAAATTAGTTTAATTTGATACGTTTAATTTAACAACACGATCCCATTTTTAGGATGCCACTAACAATCGATGGCCAATATTCCAAAGAAACCGTCGACGAATTTTTGGAGGGCCTGAAGAAGGAGGACCTGGCCAAGATTTGGGACAAAATCCACCTGACCTGCTTGCCCAGTGAGGACGAGATGGGGAGGTAAGAAGCGCCTACATGGATTCTTAATGTAAATTACATTATTAGGTTGAAACTAATGCGTTATTTAAATCATTACTTGATTTAAACTATTAAGTGGTACGACTAGTATACAGGCTGTACTTCAAACGATGTTTTTATTTAAACCCGCGTTTTACGAGCTAATTGGTAAACCTGTGCGGTTTTTCTGGGTTGCGTTCACGAGCTAATTTGCCTCAATTTCTTCAAGCAAAATGGCCGGAAGTGGCCGTTAATTGGATGCAGAGGCCGTTCCTTGATGTTTTTAAATGCGTTGGGTTTGGGTCGTCCGATGGTTTGTTGTTTGCTAGGTGTGCGCAGGTCGCCCTTCCGGGCTAAACTTGGGCCACCTCCCCCCAATTAAGTGCCAATTTCCTTTATTTATGGGGTTTTGCTGTAGGCAGCTGTCGCGGGTCTATCCTCTCTCTCTCTCTCTCTCTCTCTCTCTCTCTCTCTCTCTCTCTCTCTCTCTCTCTCTCTCTCCCTCTCCCTGCGCTGCCCCCTTCACGCTCCATCCGTCCTTGCGTTACCGTAGTCTGAGCAAAGCTCTCTGGCGGCAAAACTCTTTATTCGGACATTTAAAAGCACATCCGATAGGTAAAACAATTTTCAAGGAAGTTGGAAACACATAGAATCGACGCTATAGGGAGGGTTCAAATCTAGCGGTGGAAATATGCGTAATGCGGTTGCGGTAAACCTGCTCAGGTTCATCGGCGCTTTGAAATACAATTCTAGCGGCACGAATCAGGGCTAAACGGATGGGCTGGCCTTTAGTTGACCTAAAATCGTTAGGGCTCAAGCATTGGCCCCTATGCGGCGCGGTTCACTTTTGACATTCTAATGCCACCTGTAGTATACGTATAATTTTCCATCGAGATCAAAATTTTACAAAATCAGTGCAATCATCTCCGGCGACGAGGGTAAAGTGTTCTAGAATTTCGGTTTTGGAGTTGGGACTTAAAATATGAGGTGGTGGCAGCCAGGGTTGGTCACGCTGGATCCGAATCGGATCCGGTCCGGTCCGGGGGTCGGTCCGGTCTGGTCCTCCGAAATTTCCATCCGGTTCGTACCGGAGGGGATCGGACCGAACCTGTGCGGTCCTTGGCGGACCGAGGGCTACAGGTTTGCTAGGAAAAGCAGAAATGCGACATGAAAATTCCGTTTGCAAAAATGACGCGGTGTGAAATTCGCTTCATTAAAACGTAAAAACGTATTCATGCTTTTTTATTTTTGGCATAGCTTAGCTTTCGACAAAAATATGTCAAGATCTCTTAAAGTAGCGTTTTGCAGACAAATTTCTCATATCTGACGCCGGAATCTTGCCTCTTTGCGTCTGGACCGGACCGGAGCGGTCCGGTCTTCATTCTCCGATCCTCTCGGACCGATCCGGACCGGACTGGACCCCGGACCGACAGTGGACCGAATCCTTTGTGACCAACCCTGGTGGCAGCCATTGCAAGGAATGCGGCATCTCGTACCCCTGTGAGATTGAACCGATACTGCAGGAGTCGCGCAAGCATCACGCAGCAAGTCTCCGCGTTCTAAAAAATATCTATACTGAAATCTATGCGTTTTTGGAAACCTGGTAAAGGGCAAAGCAAACTCCTGTGGTACGCCTTCTTTTGAGGACATCAAGTTCCATGTCGTCTATGGCGCGCGGCACAAATCCGCCGGCGTACTCCAGGTTTCCCCGCAGAAACTTCAGGGTAGCGGTAGCCCGTAGCAGTTCGTCAACAGTCGGCTTGCATAGCGAGCTGATTTCTTCGGTTAGATGCCTAAAAACAAGGTGTCTGATTTGGGTTATTTGGTTCTTTTTGGGACTCCCGGGCGGGGGAGTATTCGCGGTGGGGGGGGGGACGAATTTTTTTCCTGGCGGTCCCGGTTGACCTAGTAATCAAATATAAGGTCTTTTCACATTGTTTTAGTAAATTTTAACTAGATATAAAGTAGAAAAACTTTCAGAAAAGAGCTAGAAAAATGTTTGGAAAACTCGAAATTTGGTCATTTTGGGTCCTTCCCCGCGCAAATCCTAAAGGTTCTATAGCATTTTTCGACCTAAAATTCAATTTTTTAATGAAAATTTGTGTAGTTTTCATGCTTGGGAATGGTTAAAAACAATTTAAAAAGGCATCGGCTAGTTATAAAAAATCCGACGCTTGTGCCGAAAAAAATCCTTCACGAAGCCTTCCCCCCACGAATCCTAAAGAACTGGTCCGGTTGGGTTTTAGTCATCTTTCCTAAAAGTCATCTTTCCTAAAGTCATCTTTCCTAAAGTCATCTTTCCTAAAAGTCATCTTTCCTAAAAGTCATCTTTCCTAAAAGTCATTTTTCCTAAAAGTCATTTTTCCTAAAAGTCATTTTTCCTAAAAGTCATTTTTCCTAAAAGTCATTTTTCCTAAAAGTCATCTTTCCTAAAAGTAATTTTTCCTAAAACTAGATAATCGTAAATTTTTATTTTTCCTCAATCACTTTTTTCTAAAAACCATTTTTTCGAAGATTAATTTTTCCTGAGGTTAGGTAGGCGAATAGGGATGCCATCTCCGCCTGAATTGAAACCTGCTTCCTGTGTAGAAACGGCCAAATGTCTTGACCGCCGTCAGTCCTCATAAAAGCTCTTAGTCGCATCGGAGCCTATCCTATTTTTTTATTTCTGAATAGTTTTATGAATTCAAAGATAGCATAACTGAAATCAACACATCCCGAAAATATCTAGTACGGCATGGAGACATTAAAATTTTAGGGCCCAGGCCTCTCCCAAAAAATTTTTCTGGCAAAAAAACCAACTGAGAAATATTGATTTTTAGGAAAAATGACTTTTAGGAAAGATGACTTTTAGGAAAAATGACTTTTAGGAAAGATGACTTTTAGGAAAGATGACTTTTAGGAATGATGACTTTTAGGAAAAATGACTTTTAGGAAAGATGACTTTTAGGAAAGATGACTTTAGGAAAGATGACTTTTAGGAAAGATGACTGGGATTCGGTCCGGTTGTTTAACCCATTGGATCTGCGAAATTAATACGAAGTTTAACTCACTGGATCTGCAGCATTTTCATGCTTAGTGTTAGAAGCCAGCGCCTCTCCGAACGACTTGTCGGGCAAGTAGAGCGGCTCGACGATGAACGCTTGTCGATGTTGGGTGAAACCAATGTTTTGTCGAATCCAGAAATTTTCCTCTACGTTTTTCGTGCAAGCTTGCTATCTGAAATAGCGGAAATTAGCTAAAAACGTAAAAAAAGGCTTGGGTTGAAAAGAGGGTCAGACTGGGCTTACCGGATGCGCGGACCCTCCGCCCAGCAGTTGTCGTTCTCCCTCCCGCCATAATTTACGGGGTGATGGGGTCGTTCCCCCTCCCCCCGCGCAGCTCGCGGCGGGTTGACTTGCAATTGTTGAGGGTCACCGTCAGGCCCGTAGGAGGGGGGGGGCCCAGGGGGCCCTGGGCCCCCCCCGAAATCGGTCAAGGTCTGAAAAATTCATAAGGGGGGACCCTTATGATTTTTAGTTACAAAAATTTTTCTGCCTGCGGCGCTGTTTATTACTGTTTTTCAAACAGTTTTTACTTATATCAAGCCTATTTTTTCAAAATTTTTTGCCTGCGGCGCTGGTTTTTCATGGGTGAATCAATTGTTCATAAAAAAGTTTCGCCTGCGGCGCGTTTTCTGCCTTGTTTTCACACGAATTTGAGTGTAGCGAACGCTTTTTTGCTTTTTTTTTGCTTGCGGCGCTATTATTGGCGCGATTTTCGGATGTTTTAAAAGTGACGACCGGGGGAGGTCGCCAAAATTTTTGGGCCCCCGAAATTTCGGTTCCGCTACGGGCCTGGTCACCGTCAACAGAAGAGAATTTGGAAACCTTTGACGCGAAACCTTTTTGGTAGATGAACATGGGTGTGAGTGTGGACAGGGTCGGTGAAAACCGGTGGTCTATAAAACCACTTATACCAGTAGTAGTCGAGCTTATTTGCATTCTAACGATTTAGACAGCTTTGGATCGTCGACAAGGGCAGGCTTGCTGCTTGGAAAGATGATTTCCAACCGGTGGAACGTGGCGCCGAGCCGATCAAGAGGTAATTCAAAGTATGAAATTTGGAATAAGTATTTTGCAGCTTTCTGGAGCAACAAGAAACAACGAAGAAAGACGTCATCAAGTATTATGAAGCAAATAAGGTACGTAAATACATGCAGAAGCGGTGCGTTCTCTCACACTCTCGCCCGCTCTCTCTCTCTCTCTCTCTCTCTCGCTTTTGCTCTCGCTTTTTCTTCCTCTTCTCTCACTCCCTCTCACTCCCGCCCTCTCTCTCTCATTTTTTTTCTGCGCGCTCTCTCTCTCGCTCTCACACTCTCTCACTCTCTCTCTCGCTCCCTCTCGCTCTCTTTCCCCCTTTCCCTCTTTCTCTCTCTTACTCTCCCCTCTCTCTCTCTCTCTCTCTCTCTCTCTCTCTCTCTTTCTCTCCGTCTCGCCCTTTCCCTCACTCTCTTACGCATCTGTCTCTCTCACGCACTCTCTCGCTCTCTCTCTCGCACTCTCTCGCCCTTCCCTCCTTTTATCTATCTCTCAATTTCTCTCGTTCTCGAGATTGGGTCTTTTTAGGAGAGTCTGGCTGATATGCGTACGATGGCCGGCCAAGAGAGGTTTGGAAAGGACGCTAGTAAGTAAATTCGAACACTTGGATTTGGGACAAGGTTTAAGTTCAAGCCAAAGTTAAACGTTCAAGCTAAACTTAATGTTGCGGAAGCTTACACGCCAGATAGTTAAATTAGTTTCGGAATTGGGCGCCCACAAGACAGATTTTTAGACCAGCCCAGCGGCAGTCTGCTGATCCACAGCAAAGACTGGTCGGACAAGGCAATGGCCACGCGGTTGGCCGAGGTATTTCTGGTGCTCGCGAAAGGTATGAGCCTGACCTTAGTAGAAAGCTTGAAACTGCGTTTAGCCATCAACTCGGGTCGGCTGGAATCTGATGATTTACGTTCATTTGGCATAATTTTCATTTGGCATAATCTCATTTGGCATAATTTTCATTTGGCATAATTTCATTTGGCATAATTTTCATTTGGCATAATTTTCATATGGCATAATTTTCATTTGGCATAATTTTCATTTGGCATAATTGTCATTTGGCATAACGTTATTTGGCATAATGTTATTTGGCATAATTCGCTCGCCAAATCAACAATTCCCACAACAACAATTGGCAGTTCCTCAAGGAATTGGGTGGCGATCAAGTTCGGATCGATGTCAAGTACGAAAAGATGCGCCAACGCGGTTCGAAGAAGAACCGAACTAGTCCAAACCCCCGCAGGTCTATTCCACCCAGCAGCGTCTTTGTCCTTGTCTTTGTCTTTACCTATGATGTTGTGTGACATGGATAAACAGGCTAAATTATGCCAAATAACATTATGCCAAATAACGTTATGCCAAATGACAATTATGCCAAATGAAAATTATGCCAAATGAAAATTATGCCAAATGAAAATTATGCCAAATGAAATTATGCCAAATGAAAATTATGCCAAATGACATTATGCCAAATGAAAATTATGCCAAATGACATTATGCCAAATAAGCGTTCACCGAATCTGATATGGTCCTTTCCTTGTCGTTTACGAGGTTCAAGCCCGAGAAGGACTCCAGGGTTAAGGTTGGTACTACCGTAATTTCTGTAATCTCAAAATAGGAGTTTTATTTCTTGAAAATTTCTGGGTGTATTTGGATCGATGGATCCGATCTATAATGTCGAAAACCAGGATGTCGATTCTCGAGTCAAACTTTCGATATTTGGACTTTACCGTGTTTGGGCGTTCTGATTTAAAACACTTTGACACTTTTCTGATTTTTGGCAGTTAGAGATTTCGGGATTCTGGTTTTCGACACTTTAGGGTTTCAATATTCTAATTTTCGACACTTTGAGACTGAAATACTGATCTTCGACACCTTGATATCTCGGGATTCTGGTCTTAGACACATTCGGATTTCAATATTATAATTTCCCACACTTTGAGACTTTCAACTACTGATTTTCAACACTGAGCTTTCGGGATTCTGGATTTTCACATTAGGTACAAAAACCGGTCCATTCGGTACTATAGCGTGCATTTTAGGCAAAAATGAGATTCGTGCTTTTAGATCGTCACCACAACTACCGTAACTGGGGCCCTGCTGCAACAAGTCGTCGAGATTCTCCTCGAAAACGACGTGTACCTGGGCATTCTGCACGTGAAAGTCAAGTCGGACGTCGCCTGGTAAGTGGTAAAATTGGAACCCAGCTTGAAACAACGAGAAAATCACAGGACAAATTTTTTTAGGGTCATGGACCGGTACTTGGATGCAGGCGGCAGGGATTACAGGCCCTTCACCCCGTTCTGCGAGGGCATGCTGGACAAGTACGAGGAATTGGCGAAAAAATTCTGAAGATTTCCTTGGGGATTTTGTCGATAAATAATTAGGATTTGGTTTTGATTTTCAAATAACCGCAGCAAAGAACCAACAGATTGTCACAAATTCTTCAAAATAGCAATGCTTGCGCGGTTTGGGCAAAAGCAAGTGGTTTTTAGGATACCTCTGCCGAAGCAATCCTACTATATATAAAAAAATAGTGTCTGTGTGTGTGTGTGTGTATGCCACTTTGCATGCAACTTCCGTCAGCGTGTCCGGAGGATATCTCTAGAGGGGGGGGGTGTAAGGGGGTGTTAGATACGTCATTAGATGCGTAATGGGCTGGAGATGACTGCACACATATCAGATTTTGTCAAATATTTTGTTTTCGACATTAAAATTAAGTTTTTCGTAAAAATTCGGCCACCCACTTTGTTAGGAGAAAATTTGCATACGCCGGAAGCTGCAGTAGGCATAAAGGCCCAAAGGGAGCGTTTTTCATTTTTTTTGTCATTGGAATTGAGGCACAATTATGCAAAATAAAGAACATCATAGGATTAGACGGGACCAGGGTTGAAAAGTCGCGAAGCGACTTTTCAACCCTGGTAATTGTTAAAAATGGCCTCTCCATTCCGAGGCCAGGGTTGGTATTTTTTGGCCCGGGCTCGGACGGGCTCAAATTAGCACGGGTTCGCCTGCGGAAGCTAGGCTGTATTCCATGCCGTACTTCAAATAGCTGTAAGACGCCGTCTAGACGAAGCCTACCTTAATGAAATATACCATTCGAATCAGAAAAAATTCCCTATCAGACAGGCTAGTTAAAATAAATCAGAACTTTAATTTAAAAGAGAACGGCATCCTGGTAAAACGCCTCTTAGGGGCGAAAATTGACACTAAAACCGCAATATCTTAGGTTTTAAAGCTCAGTAGCAGATTTGGACAACGAGGAAATGATCAGCGTGGTCGATTCTATCGGTGTGCAAATTTTTAGGCAATTCTGAGTCCGGGTTTATTCGGGCTTTCCTATTAAACTTAAAACACATTATTGCTTACTTTGGAGATTCACCATCATAGTGGGTAGGCGATCCGGGCTCCATCTACTGCCTGTTTTTAGCCTGTCTGCTCAAAATCCAATCATAGCCGCAAAAAATAGTGCGAATGAAACATGATCGAAATACAATGAGCGTGAACTAAAAGTGTGCATAGATCGGCTTTATTGATTGTTGTATGCTGAATTCAGCATGGCGCGCCACTGATTGGGAAACACAAGCCGTTGCCTTGTTCGGTCGGGCAGCACTTGAACGTGTTTGCGCATTTCGGATTGCCCAGATCACAATCATTGCCAGCGTCCTAGAAATTAAGTTGTAATTCGTAAGCACGGTAGAAGAACGGGCGGATGAGGCTCATCCAAAAACAGAACGACAACCAACCTTCAGAAGTTTCCATGGCCACGCCAGGGCAACAGTCATTACCACGGCGAGCAGGAAAACGGTCGATAGGAAGCGCATTTTTTGGATGAGCTCAGAACCTGAGCACATGGCTTTTATACACGGGATTTCATGATAGTTCTGAGTTAGTTCTCCCCTAAATATGCAATTCGGCGGGGGCGTTGGTTCCGGAAAGGCTCTCTTTCCATCTTCACGAATTTGTAATTCAGTGACCAGTCGTTGTCTACCAAGCTTTTTGGTTTTTGGTCTTTGCTTGCTTTACAGAAACCAATTTTAATGGTTTACGAATTGTACTTAGTTTTTTAGCATGCAAGCTCGCAACACCTTTCTGGAGTTTAAAAAGAGCAAAATTCTACTAAGAGATTTGAAATGACACCGAAAAAAAATTGCCAGCACTCCTAGCGACCCCAAACGGAGCGGCAGCTGCGCACGACCAAAGACCAAAAATCAAAAAGCTTGGTAGACAACGACTGGTCACTGAATTACAAATTCGTGAAGATGGAAAGAGAGCCTTTCCGGAACCAACGCCCCCGCCGAATTGCATATTTAGGGGAGAACTATGATGAAATCCCGTGTATAAAAGCCATTTGCTCAGGTTCTGAGCTCATCCAAAAAATGCGCTTCCTATCGACCGTTTTCCTGCTCGCCGTGGTAATGACTGTTGCCCTGGCGTGGCCATGGAAACTTCTGAAGGTTGGTTGTCGTTCTGTTTTTGGATGAGCCTCATCCGCCCGTTCTTCTACCGTGCTTACGAATTACAATTTAATCTCTAGGACGCTGGCAATGATTGTGATCTGGGCAATCCGAAATGCGCAAACACGTTCAAGTGCTGCCCCAACGAACAAGGCAACGGCTTGTGTTTCCCAATCAGTGGCGCGCCATGCTGAATTCAGCATACAACAATCAATAAAGCCGATCTATGCACACTTTTAGTTCACGCTCATTGTATTTCGATCCTGTTTCGTTCGCACTATTTTTTGCGATGCTGATTGGATTTTGAGCAAACAGGCTAAAGGCCCCAGGCTATGGAGCCGGGATCGCCTAACCGCTATGATGGCGAATCGCCAAAGTAAGCAATAATGGTGTAGTAGTTTTAATAGGAGAGCCCGAATAAACCCGGACTCAAAATTGCCTAAAAATTTGCACACAGATAGAATCGACCACGCTGATTATCTTGATCCACCGCAAAGATTGGTCGGAAAGGCAATGGCCTCGCAGTTGGCCGAGGTGTTTCTGGTGCTCGCGAAAGGCATGAGTCTTACTTGAATCCAAGAATTGAAGCCTGGGTTCAGCTATCAACTCGGGGCGCCAGGAATCCGATATGGTGCTTTCTCTATCTTTTACAAGGTTCAAGCGGGAGAAAGGCTCGGGAGTTAAGGTATTTCGTAACTATCGTAGTTTGCGTTTACGCGGATAGGATTGGATAGGAGCTATATTGTCAAAAATTCGAAGTTCGATTAGGTTGAAATGTAAAACTTTCTAAATTTTGACATCCCGAATTTTGTGGCTACGATTTTGAATCCTTTAATTCAACATTTTCATTCTAATTTTCGACACACCCAGATTTCGGGATTCTAATTTTCGACACATTGAGATGTTGAAATCCTGGTTTTCGACATTAGGATAGAAAATCCCGTCCGTACGGTATTGTAGCGTAAATCTCAGGCTGCATTCAAATGCTTGCTTTTCCCATCATAACCGCAACCACCGTAACCGGCGCCCTACTGAAACAAGTCGTCGAGGTGCTCATCGAAAACGACGTATACCTGGGTATTCTTCACGTGAAGGTCAAGTCGGACGTCGCCTGGTAAGTGATGGAGCCGGAAACCTGCGGCAAAACGGGAAAATCATAGGAAAACTTTTTTAGGGTCATGGACAGGCCCGTAGGAAGGGGGGCAACTGGGGCAAGTTGCCCCCCAAAAATCGGCCGAAGGCCGAAAAATTCATAAGGGGGAACCCTTATGATTTTTTTCCTCAAAATTTTTTTGCCTGCGGCGCTTTTTATAGTTGTTTTTAAGGCTGTTTTTACCGTCATGGCCCTAAGTTTTCAAAAATTTTCGCCTGCGGCGCTGTTTTTGATAGTTTTGATACGTTGCCAAAAATTTTTTTTTGGAGTTGCCCCCCCCCCCCAAAAATCGGGGATCGCTACGGCCCTGGTCATGGACCGGTACTTGGATGCTGGCGATAGGCACTATAGACCATTTACCCCGTTCTGCGAGCGCATGCTGGACAAGTACGAGGAATTGGCGACAAAATTCTGAAGCTTTCCATTGGTCATTTTGTCGATAAACAATTAAGATTTTAATACGATTTTCGGAGACGCACAGAAGGGAACCAGCACAGATTCACAAATTTTTCAAAATAGCAACGCTTGTGCGGTGTGAGCAAAAGCAAGTTGGTTTTGAAGATGCGTCAGCCGCAGCAATAGTTCTCAAAAACGGTCACTCCACTCCGGGCCGATCCCCCGGTTCCCTCACATCGGCAAACTAAAAAAAACCAGATAAGCGGCGGCCTCACACCAAGTCGATGCGCTGCCTAACATTTGCAACCGAATTTTGGCGTCTCCTAATCGATTAGGTGAGGTATCTTTTGCCAAGATTAGTACGTTAAAGCAACTGTTTTTTTTCGATCCTGGTTTAAGAAAACTCATCATTTTATCAAAAACCGGCCCACGCCATACCATGGGTCTGTTTCCTAAAGGGTGGAAAAGGCACTCCCGCGAGGGCCTGTCCTTGCCCGATCTCCTTGGCCTGTTGGCTGATTGGTTTTGTGTCCGCTTGCCGGGCACAAGGCCCGGGTTCGACCCCCGGGCGTGGCCGAGCTTTTTGATTTTTCATCAATAACTGGCAGTTGAATGTTTCTTTAAAGGTACACTAAAGTCTCGTTGGTTTGGTTACCGGCCGGTAACCGTCCGCGGGATAGCAAACAGGGTTACGGTAGGCGCTCGCTGCGGAGCAAAACCGAACCCGCGCCACTCGCCTAGGGCGACCACTAGGCCATGGGACAGACGGGAGAGGGGAGAGGGAAGGGGGATAAGAAGGGTCCGGGCGTGGAGCGGCTGACGGCCCGAATTTCCGACCGCGAACTGACTTTTTGCATGAGATTTTAGTGTACCTTTAAGATAGACACAACAAGTAACGATTTCTAAAGTGGTTCAACGGCGCGAAAGTTTACTCTTTCTCCAAACTTGCTCTCGTTAGTTAAACGCCAAAATATGCCACACCCCAAGCAGAATTAAATTTTCCCTCCCTATTACGATTCGATCCTCGGGCTACATATCTAGTTTAATGTTGTTAATATACCTTGTTCAATTTTTTTCAGGATGCCGTTAGAAATTGATGCTCTGTACTCGAAGGAAACTATCGAAGAATTCCTAGACGGTCTGAAGAAAGAAGATCTGGCCCGAATTCAAAACAAGATTCACCTGGTCTGCTTGTCGAGTGAAGATGAGATGGGGAGGTAAGCCAGAGCTCATCTCTTCAGAAATCAAAAAAATCATACCTCACAAAATTAGGGTGGTTTAGACAGCTCTGGATCGTCGATAAGGGCCGACTTCGCGCATGGAACGATGATTACAAACCGGTGGAGCAGGCAGCCGAGCCCATCAGAAAGTGCCTTGAGGCCAAAGAGACAACTAAAAAAGTTTTTTAGCTGCTTGGAAAGGCAGCAAGCTGCCATGGATGATATCATCAAATACTATGAGGAAAATAAGGTAATCGTTCACGATCTCATGACACTATACTTTCCCGATAAAAAGACCCCGTCTAACTCGAGGCTGAGCATCGTCTAACTAACCCCGTCTAACTCGACGCAGAAGTATCGGATCGTAACGATAGTTACACCGTCGTATCGTTGCAAAAATTCCGACAAAATCAGCGAAAATACCCTGACTTTGAGACCCTTCGGCTGTGGGAGGGGCAACCAATTTTGCTTCAGAATCTTGAGCAAAATGTGCTCGTTTGCAACCCCGGACAACTGCAAAATTTTTCAAAATGGCCTTTAAAATAGCGAATTTGTTTTTATTGGGACACGCTCTCTCTCGTTCTCTCGCTCTCTCTCTCTCCCTCTCTCTCTTCTAGTTCTCTGTCCTCTTAACTAGCGTCTGTTTAGGGCAATTTGGCCGATATGCGAACAATGGCCGGGCAGATCAGGTTCGGCAGAAATGCGAGTAAGTCAAGTGTCGCCCTCATACAATTATTGGACCCAAATCGCGATCTTGATCATAAATTTTTGTCCCTTACCAGACTAGGCTTCCACTTCAGATCAATCCAGCTGCAACCTCATCATCCACAGCAAAGACCTGTCGGACCGCGCGATCACCAAACAGCTGGCTGAGGTGTTTTTGGTGCTGGCAAAAGGCAAAGCGCAATCTATCTGTGTATTCTGATTTTAGCCATCAATTCCGGGCGCCTAGAATCCGAGATGGTCCTCTCGTTGTCGTTCACCAGGTTTGTGCCGGAAAGGAACTCTCGGGTCAAGGTATCCTGGAGCTCTCAGCGATATCAAAATCGGAGATTTGCAGATTGTTTCCGAGAATACGGCAACTGGCGACCTACTGACGCAGGTCGTCGAAATTCTCTTGGAAAACGGCATCCACATCGACATCCTGCACGTAAAGGTCAAGTCCGATGTGGCCGTGTAAGTTGTAGCTGTGAAACTCGCCGAACTAAACCTTGAGATAGTCTAAATTAGCCGCTTCGTTGTCACCAATGCCTTCAAAAAATATTTTTTTTCAGGATGATGGGCAAACACCTGTTTGGCGCAAGAAACTTCACGCCGTTTACGCCGCTGTGCGCCGGCATGCTCGACGATTACAAGGCATTGGCCAAGACATTTTAGGTTTCCGGTTTTATGAACTGAGCTCAATAAATTTTTTTCCGAAGGCCAAAAGGGGTACATTTCGATAGAAGGCCTGCCATATCGGAGCAGCAACTGAGTGGCTCTCTCTCTCTCTCTCTCTCTCTCTCTCTCTCTTAGTTTCAGCAGCGTAAAATTTGGCACTAAATACAGCGCACATTAATTGCCTTTTTAAATTTATTTTTCTTATATTGTAGTTAATTTTTTGTTTCGAATTTATTTTGACCAAACAACTGTTTTTTCATCCCAGCTGATCCTACTATATATAAAAAATAGTGTCTGTCTGTGTGTGTGTGTGTGTGTGTGTTTGTGCCACTTTGCATGCAACTTCCGTCACCGTGTCCGGAGGATATCTCAAGATGGGAAGGGCGTTGGGCTACGTATGATACGTCATTAGATGCGTAATGGCCTGGAGATGCCTGCACGCATATCATATTTTACAAGTTAGGCTATTTTCGACATTAAAACTAAGTTTTTGTTCAAAAATCGGGTAGCCTATTTGTTAGGAAGCAATTAACATAGCCCGGAAGTAGCGCGAGCCTATATTTTGGGGCGGAGAGAGGTGATTTTAATTTTTTCTTTGTCATCGGAATCCGAGAGATTTATGCAAATTGACGACGCCATGGGGTTAGACGGGGGCCAGGGTTGAAAAGTCGCGAAGCGGCTTTTCAACCCTGGTTAATTAGAAAAAATTACTTAAAAAAGGGTAACCTGATTTTCTAGACAGTAAAAGAACGTGCCACGCGAATTGCCACTTAATTGGTGCCGTTCGAAGTTCCGACTTTGAACGGTTGGCGCCAGTGAGTGGGCCCCCAGACCATAACAACCCACCTCAAATGCCGTGATAACGGAAGCGAGTTGCGAGCCACACACGAACATCTCGCAGCTTCTATATTAGGAAATCATTTCAATAACAATTTTATACGCGACAGGTATGCCATCTAGTCTGAACAGCAAGTCTGAAGTTTTCCTAGTTTACCGCCTATTGTTTACACATATTCTTGTGAAACTTTTTTTTTAGAAGCAGTCCAGTCAATTCTTCTTTTCTTTTCTTACAAGCAGTCTTAGAGTGATTCTTGAGTTTAACTCGTTTAATCCAGCCAAAAGATCGTAGTACCACAGATTTCCACATTTTGGAAAAATCAGACCGGTTTTCTTCTCATAAAAACCCCCTCGGCATTTGGCCGCCTTATTTCCGATCAAGCAATAATTTTTAGCAGAGGTGCGGAAGGCCAAAAACTATATCACGTGCTTGGTTGGAAACCTCTATCTAGCAGGATACCCGGGAAATCGCGAGAAAACGCAAAAACCACTATGTCCTTTCCAAAAATAAGACTTATCAGCATTGACTAATTGCATCTAATCGAATGAAGCGGAGGCTTTTTCAGAATGTCCTACCTTATATAATTTTGGAGTGTAACTGTGTGTGTGTGTGTGTGGATGTCACTTTCGAGGCCCGATTTGAGGGCCTTCCCGCGTCCAAAACGCCTCAATTCTCCGTCACCCGGGGGAATCGACCCTTCTGTTTCCAATGGCTTTCTCAGAATTTCGATAAAATACAAGTTTACAAAGTTAAAGCCGGTTTTATTGATTTTTGGGGGTCCAGGCAGGCTAATTTGCATAACGTGAAAAAATACAAATTTCCTCATTCTTGCAAACTGCACTCGCGGGTTCGGTCGGGACAGGGAAGGGGGTCCGAAGGACCCGAGCTATCAGAAAGTCAAACTTTTCATGCAAAGGCAGGATTCCAGCGCCCAAGGCCCGCGAAGCGGGTTTTGGGCGCTGGTTAGGTTATAAAAATAAACAAAGAGATGATTTTTTGTCAAAGTGAAGCTTAATGGTTTTTCCATTAATTTCACGGCACTCCGTTCACGCGGGGCATGGATTTGATGCATTAATGACAGCAGAAATTATCAGAAAAAATGTTTGGCGATTTGTCGGGGTGTCCTGCTAGAGAGGACTTTAGACTAAGATATAGATATACCAAGCACCTTATATAGTTTTTCGCCGTTCGCACCTCCTCTAAAAGTTGCAGCTCGTTCGGCTATAAGGCGACGAAAGCGGAGGGAGGCGGTGGGTTACGAGACACCCTGCAATGGGGTGGAGCTTTTACATCTAAAGAAATTACATATAAACCCATTACATCTAAAGCCATCACATTAATGGGCTTAGATGTAATGTCTTTAGAAGTAATGACTGGGAGCCCCTGTAATTTCTCGTCAATTTCCGTCCCGAACGCTCCGACCATTGTATGATTCGATCCGAAAATTGTAAAGCGCTACCTTGCTCAAAATCGTTTTCCTGTTTCGGCTAACTAGGGCTACCTAATGGTTATGATGTCAAGAAGACTACACCAAGTCCTTGGGAAAGCATGGGGAACCCCTTTATCAGCCACCGCCACCTCCCTCCCGGTGGGTGGCGCTTCCGGTAGATGCGATTTCCGGTACGAGATTCCGTTCCAATTTCTTGGGGAAAAACGATTGAATAGTGCTTTTTTTTGCCTAAAATTACTAGGAGATCTGAAGACCAAAATGTGGAGATTCTCGCAGATTTCGCTAATATTTGCGAGGTTCTCAAAAATAGCATAAAAATATTGCCTCCTCAATTTCATAGTTTTTTCAGGATGATGTTAATCGTCGAAGACCAATTTTCGAAAGAGACTGTCGATGAGTTTTTAAGCTATCTGACAAAGGAAGATCTAGCAAAAATCAAATATAAGATTCACCTCACCTGTATGCCCGGAGAGGACGAGATGGGCAGGTAAAAAATACTAAAATATTTTTTTTTAAATCTAAAATAATGTTTTTGATTGTTTGCCAAAAGCGATAGGGCGATAGGTAGATATAATTTGATAACCTATGCCATTTAGAAAAATCTGGATCAGAGACAGCGGACGGCTTTCCGCGTGGAAGGACCACTTCAAGCCCGTTGAGCGTGAAGCCGAACCCGTCAAAAAGTGCTTAGGGCCCTGAAGTCACGCTTTTTAAAGATTTTTAGTTTTCTACCGAAGAAACTCGCCGCGGCTGGTGAGATCACCAAGTACTACGAGGCAAATATGGTAAGCAAACGCACTTGAAAACCTAACATCGTCAGCAATTTTCAGGACCGCTTGGAGGATTTGCGCACGCTGGAAGGGCAAAAGAGGTTCGGCGCGGAATCGAGTAAGTGGTATCTACAGGGTGCCCCAAAAAATCGACCCCTCTAACGTGCCGCAGTCATGTCCGATGGTGACGATTTAGGTATCTATCGGAAGTTCTCGAAAAGGCAAGAAAACCAGCACCTTTCGCTTATCAATATAGGCATTTTTGTTCGGTAAATTTAGGACCAAAATCCGTGAAAACTGCAAATTTTATCCAAAAGCATCAGGTTAATGGTTTGCTAAAGCAAACAGGACGACGCTGATTTTGCTCTTTTTTAAGAAATCGTCCATATCGAGCGCAGGGCATTGTAAAACGAAAAGCGCTTGTTTTCTTGCCTTTTCAAGGGCTCTCGAATGATGTAAAAATCATTCCGCTCCGAGCTTTCTACGGGCCGCTAGAGGGGGTCGATTTTTTTTGGGATACCCTGTAAAAGTGTAATACCTATATCTTCTCATGCGTTTAATTATATTATATTATACTACTCTATTTTAACTTTTTTAGAAGAAACACTTTTGCTTGTAGAATTCGGGAAAACCCCCTAAAATTTTATTTCAGAGCAGACGAACTGCGCCTTCATCTTCCACTGTACGAATGCCGTCGACGCAGCGATTGCACCGAACTTGGCGGAGATGTTCTTGGTGCTCGCCAAAGGTAGATAATTAAAGTTATAGTTTTCGAAAGGTTTTCTTTTTTAGCCATAAACTCGGGCCGACTCGAATCGGAGCTAACGCTGTCGCTGTCGTTTACGCGCTTCCCGAGGGAGCAGGACTCTCGGGTCAAGGTAGTTGTTTGCAGTGCAAAATATCAATGATTCCCAGCTAAATTTTTAGCTCATGACCGAGACCACGGTAACCGGCGACTTGCTGCGGCAGGTTGGCGAGATTCTCGTAGAAAATGGCGTCGAATTGGATGTGTTTCACGTGAAGGTTGTATCGGAGATTTCTGTGTAAGTGTTGGCACGCTAATACACTTGGCCCAGAAATCGACCCCTCTCGCGGACCGGCGAAAGCTCAGCTCCGGATGATTTTCACACCATTTGCAAACGCGCGGAAAGGCGAGAAAACAAGCTATTTTCCTTGTATAAAATAGTTTAGCCCGCGCGCAATTTTCAACGGTTTCTGAAAGAGATAAGGACGGCATAAGTCAATCGGTTACGCGGGGGAAAGGGGGGTGTCTGCGCCTCTCTCCTGGACGCCCTCTCTCTCCCCCCAGACCTCTCTCTCTCCTCTCTCCCAGACTGGGGTTCAACAAATGTCGTCCTTATCCCTTTAAAAAAGCGTAAAATCAGCATCGTCCTGTTAGCTTTAACAAGCAATTAAGATGCAGACTTTGCATAAAACCTCAAGCATAAGTGTTGATGCCTATATTGAAAAACTACCACTTTTTCGTGTTTTTAAATGATTATTATATATTAATGCTAAAGTTTGTACGTAATAAAAAAGCTTAGAAACAGTTTAGCTATTTACATTAAAAAAATTGGATCCCAAGGAAGAAAGTTGATAGAGATGATAGCGTATTTTTGGAATGAATGGCTCAAACAGACCACTCCTAAGAAAACCTCTAACTCCGTTACTTTCACACCAACAAAACCCTGTTTAGTGTGATGCGCAGATACTTCGATAAATGGTTCGGCTACCAGCCCTTTCAACCATTCCTCGAGGGAATGCTGCACGAGTACGAGGAATTGGCCAACGAATTTTGAGCTTTCAGGGATGGTCTGGAATACCTAGGAAATTAACCTTTTAATGATTTGGAAAGTATTCTAACGACAGCTCGGGAAAACAATAATTTGGCTGTAAAAAAAGAGCTGTGCTTTGCAAATGTTTTTATTTTGTGTTGTGCCTCCGTTTTCTGGGTCGAATAAAGTGATGCTCGATGCTGGCTATTGCACCCTCAAAATTTGCGATTCTTCAGTGAGAACTTGAAGCTACAGTAGATGAGATATCGAAGAGCTGCATTCTAAAAAACAACATTGTGTGTTCGGGGCGATTTGCCTACCGCTGCCGGATGTCGGCGCAACAGGAGCAACCGAGATATTGCAGAGCGCGCGTTCGTAATCAACTATAAGAATTCAGTAGTGGTGTCCGTCAGAAGCCAACTATAACTCGAAGGGGAAGGGAGGTAGAGCTTAGGTCTCTTCGGATTTGGATAGAGCGTAGTCAGAAACCCCTTAAATGATCAAAAAATTATGAAAAAGTTTTTGTTTAAATAAAAATAATTAACTTTGAAAGTGGCGCCTTAATAAAACGAGTGGGGGCCCTCTCCCCGGGAGGCCACGCCCCCTTTCGCCCGCCCCTTCCCCAAGCCCTTTCCCGCGCCCAGGTCGCTTTTTTCAGTTGTTTTAATACTTTTTAACTCATTGTTTAAATCCTTTAAAGTATCTAAAGCCATCACAAAGGAAGGGGGAGGGAGCGGAAGGGGTAGCCCGAAATCCAGCCGCTTGCAGCGGCAAAGCCGCTGTAAGCGGCTGGTGCCTAAAGTAAGAGATAGCTTTCTGCCGCACTTTAAGTGAAGGTCCATACCTTAACTAAGAATGTACAAATTACAGCATCTGTAATCGGGAATAAGCAGTTCAAAATCGGCATTACCGGGACGATGAAGCCGATACCTAAAACGCGACTAAAAGAAGGCTTGTATCGACGAGTAAAAGTCAGGTAAGCAAGTAATTTAAATCTAAAGATATTTACACCATGAGGTCGGAAATCCAAATTAAAGTTTTTTGTCAGGTTCTGAATTCTTTCAAGCCGCAAAGCCATACACCACTTACCTAACGTGCCCGAAAATTGGCACAGCGAGAAAGGGATAATTTCCGTGCAAGTCGAAGCAATTAACGTTGTTAGCAATATGGTAATTAATTGATTTTGAATGGCGCGAGTTGCAGCTGAACACATTGACTGCTTTACGGCGTGGTGACTAAACGAAAACAGATGATAAAACGGTTTTAAAGCGCTAGGAAGCTATAAAATCCAAGTTATGCTAAAGCTTACAGTTTGTACGTTAAGACAACCCCAAAAATTGAAGCAGCATATGAGATTCCGGTTACATAGCCAACAGCGAGAATATCAATCCAGCGAAGTCCATGAGTTTTGTCCTAGAAGATTGACTTAAAGAGAGCGAGAGAAAAAAAGACAGAGAGAGAGAGCGAGAGAGAGAGAGAGCGAGAGAACGAGAGAAAGAGAAAGCGCCTACCCAATATTGGGGACTTACAAATGAAGCTGGGGCCAATTCTATTCCGAATATCTGTTTGATAGTTTCCCTCCGTCCACCGAGAGCATCCAGCGATTGCTAAAATTTGGCGATAAAATTTATCTTCAAAGATAGACTATCACGTTCGTTTTAATTTTTCCGAAACCTACATCAAGTATAAAAATATTTCCCAACGTCCAGACCCCGACAAAATACACAAAACCCGCCACAATCATTAAGTCTAGACCTCGCGGATGCCCGAAAAGGAGTCGGCCCTTGCTAAATTGAGCATGACTTTGTAGAAAATGAAATCGAACGTCGTGATCGTAAGGTCAAAAGGATTACGATTAACCTACCCTGTAATTGTGCAATATCTATAAAGGGTATGCATCGCGCTGAGCGCGATTCCGGACGCCATCGTGGAATTCAAGACGATGGTCGCCCAGAAAGGAGCTGTAGGACCGAACTTCATATAGAAATTTAGGCTGAAGATGGTGTAGCCTGTTTCATCAGCGACGAAGACCTGAAGGTGTAAGCTTGAGATCTGGCTCTCTCTGTCCCGCTCTCTCGCTCTCTCGGTCTCTCTCGCTCTTTGCCTCTCTCTCGCTTTCCCTTACTCCCTTTCGCTCTTTGTCGCTCTTTATCGCTCTCTCTCGCTCTCTCTCTCCCTCTCTCTCCCTCTCTCGCTCTCTATCGCTCTCTCTCTATCGCTCTCTCTCATTCGCTCTCGCTCTCTCGCTCGCTCTCATCTCTCTCTCGCTGGAACTCACCGGCCCCACAATAATATTGCACAATGCATAATGTATATTATACAAAACTCGGCAGGTCAAGAAGTTAGCATAATTTGTGCGGAATTTCTGTTCCGTCAAGATACACAAAAGCAAAAATAAACTACATGGTATACTAATAAGCGATAGCCCCGGTAATAACCACGAAAATATACTTGTAATGTCCATTCCGCTCCAAAATGACGCCGACTTGGGATTGTAAACGGCCCGGAAGCCGGGAGGGCGTTCCCCGGGCCAATTTTCGTAATAACTAGTTGCTGCTGTTCGTGTTAACTAGTGGGCATGGTGACCTGGCTCCCCACTAGTCCTATCACAGGTACCAACCCTCTTCCTAATACTTCTTGTTACCCTGGGCTTACCGAGCACAAATCTGAACGGTTATATAGAAAAACTAATATCATAATACGAGAACATGCTGATGAAATTGGATATCATTGCAATAATCTAAAATGTTTAACATGCTTCGATATCGAATATGAAAATCTTATTCAAAGCTATTCAACCAACTACTTTATGAAAACTAACAATTATATCAAAGCAAACTGTAACAATAAAGGTATAGTATATTGCCTTACATGTAAAATCTGTGGTATACAATACGTTGGAGAAACTAGCACTACTCTCAAAAACCGAATGTCACAACACCGTTCCTCCATACGTAATAACAAAAATGGATATCTATATCAACATTATCGAAAACATTTCCCTACTGGACGTGATAAAGATATGTTTCATATACATATACTAGACGATCATCCCGAAAATCTAAATACAAATATCAGACTAAATAAAGAATTATACTGGATTAAAATCTTAAATACTGCATATCCACTTGGGCTTAATGATAAAATCAAAGGATACGGAATTATATCAACTAATAACAGTAAAAACCATAAAAATAATCCATACTTCTCAATGAAAATCATTCCCCCATCCAGAAATCGTGGACCTAGAAAAAAGAAAAAACCACAACAAACACCTAACACCGACAAATTAGATCTCGCAAACCTAAAACAACTGCCAATTAAAGATATTCGTACATTTATACATAACCTAACGAAAAAACAAGCTAAAATTCTTGATAAAAATATTAATCTAGCTAAATTAGACGACAAAACTTACCTACAAAGTCTATTATGTAAAAGGAATAATAAACTATTAGAAAATAAACCTAAAATAATTAACAAAAACCTAATTAAAATTAAAATTCCTTACATCTACACAAATTTTGAAAATATACCACATAAACACCTCATCAAACAAACAGGCATAAGCTTAGGTATACAAAATGTTAAAAATTTCAATGTTACTTTCTCCTTAATGCCTAACCTGGGGAATATATTCTTTAATTATAATAAATACCTGGATAAGCTAACAAACATAACTACGCCACATAGATGCGAATGCAATAAATATCCTAAAATTACCAGTCGATATACAATTCACAACCAGCCACACATATTATGCGGAGATATGAATCAAATACAATCCTATTTCCCAAAAATAGCTACCATACTAAAACTTGGTACAAAATTTAGACCAGCAACTGATCTAAAAAATTATAAAATTAATGCTGAAATCGTTGCTAATATTACAAAAGAATTAAAAAAAATATATTATGATCAAAACTTATGCAATGAAATAGCTAATAAATATTGGTTACAAATAGTTACTAAATACAATGACAAAGAAACCAAAAACATAGATCATAAAGATATTAATGAATTCAAAAAAAGATTTGTCATTACCCCAATTGATAAAGCCACAAACAATTTTGCAATTATTTGCCCACTAATATACGAACATTTTATTAACAATGAATTAGGAATCTCCGATAGCAATATTCAAGGTAACGCCACCTATCAATTATACATACAAGAAAATATAACCGATATTATTAAAAGACACTCCGAACATGTTAGTCTCATGTGCCAAGATAACAACCAAACAGCTGCTCTTCCAAGGATATACGCAGTACCTAAATTCCATAAAAACCCGATTAAATGTAGATATATCAGCGGAGCTTACAATAGTTCAATCAAACCAATTTCGATAATAATACATAAACTACTGAAACATATACGAAAACACTTCCAAAGCTATTGTAATAACATTAATCGTAACACAGGCAGGAACGTTTATTGGTCAATCGATAATTCACAACAAGTTCAAACCCTAGATAATCAGTACGATAACATTTACATAGCAGACTTTTCAAGCCTATTTACTAATTTACCTCATGACATAGTGACTAAAGCTATAAATAATATAATAGAACTATGTTTTAAAAATTCAGGCAAAAAACAACTAAAACTATCTTATAAATCAGCATACTATACAGATAGCCCTTGTGATAGCTATAGCGAAAAAGAATTAAAAGCATTAATAACCTTTACCCTACAAAATAGTTATGTTAAATATAAAAATCTGATTTTCAAACAAACTAACGGTATTCCACAAGGTCATAACTGCAGCCCACTTATTGCCGATTTAACCCTCACCTACTTCGAATATGAATATCTAAAACCAAATTACTCTAATAAATATACAGGTTACAGATATATGGATGATATTCTAATATTTTACAAAAATGGAATTAAAATCGAAGACATTCTCAGCCAAATTTATCCTAATCAGCTAACCCTAGAACCCACAAACGATTCCGTTTCAGACGGTAACTTCCTAGACCTAAGAATTTACAAAAAATCTAACGCATTCCATACCA